AGGGATACGAAAAGCCTTGGAGTACGATTTTCCTGTGGGCCTCCCTATACTCACCCCCCCCCCCCTAACTAAAAGTAATAAAACAGAACACTGGTTAATATTATACAAATTATCTTGCTGGCTGAAAATGGTTTTTCAAAACAATATTAGTTTTCCTTGGCGATCGACATATCGATTCTGATACATAACAAGCACTGAGGCTTTTCAGTTTGGAGGTAGGTAGCATCGACGGGACCTTTCCTAAATCGTAACACCAATCTGCCAAATCATAACGTGAGCAAATTAATGATAAAAAATTTATTGAGGAAGCTTTTAACATTTCAAAATCGGCTTTGTAATAATTTTTCCAGCAATATAGTACACTTGTGAATTTTTGTCTGGAAAAGTAAGCAGTTGTCTCTTAATCGTTGTAATTATATATATATCAGTGCTTTTGTAACGACAGACGATGCATTATTATTTCTATAAAATGTCGTTCCAACACGTTTAGCACAGAATTTTTCTTTTTAAATGAAACTTTGCAGTTATACGTATTATGAAAGCCTGAAGCACACGAACTAAAGTGCTAAATCTGAGATTCCAAGGTTTAGGCTTAGACGCTTTTAATTTTTACCTACTGACCAAAAGGAAGACAAACCAGCTAGCAGCACCTGCCACCCAAGGTCATTGGCTGTCTTATTTGAACCGAACAAATGGATTGATTGTCACTTTCATAACGCGCCCACGGTTGAAAATGCGGAGCGTGTTAAGTGGCATCATGCCTCAAACTTTGGACTGACGCACTAAACACCAGGCCAACTTCGGTACGTTATTATTATTATCTTTTTTTACATAAACACACCTGAAATCTTTGGGTTTTGACCGACCCAGAGATTTTAAAGATATATATATAGTATAATAATAATCCATTTAACTTCAAACAGTCCTAAAATATTCAGTAATACGAAATAATTTTAGTTTCTATATTACCACTGTACAGACCTTTACTGTTTTCCTGTTCGACCACATTCAACTAAAAGCTGTGGGTAAACGATTTGAATTAAAAGGCAATGATATGTAAAGGCAGAAATCCTTATTCAGAATAAATAATAAGAAAGCTTGTAATTACATTTTGCTTAATTTAATGAATGGACTATGAAGACAAAGTTTTACATGGGATGGGCTATAGAATTACATTGTTGGAAATGAGATATCCGAAATTAAATACTTAAATAGATATATATAACTTGTCAGACGCAAGAAAACACACGTTTTCGGCACCACACTCGCTGGAGGAAAAGTTATCTCGCCAAGAGATCATATAAAAGACATCAAAAGCATACCATGAAAAAATAAATCCTAGAGATTACGGACTTGTTCCTAGGTTTGCATAGAAACCTGTATAATTTTCAACTAGCCCTGAACCAAGTGCCTCTCTTGACCCAACTACTCCTACGCCACTGCAAATTGTTGTTTACCCGAGGGATATCCCCTGATGACTTAGTGGTAAACTTCCATGCTTATAACGAGAAAATTTGGAGTTCGATCCCTGAAGTGGGCACAGCTCAGATAGACAGTTGTGTAGTTTTGCACTAAAACAAACCATGAAGCCATACTACTTTGGCCATATGTTGGCTCCAATTAAACTTCAGTATTCTTTAATGATAATATTAAATGTTCTCAAATTATTATTCGTCCAAACAAAAACATGGTAAACTGTGGAATTCTAAAGTGCGCTCATAACCTTAGAGATGAGAGTAGTAATCACAATAGCTTGAGGATACCTGGAAATGTATCATAAAGCTAAAGTTACATGATTCTGAGTTTGGAGCAAAAAGAAACTAAACACAGTATATACAAAAAGTAATCTTTATTTAAAATTCATAAGTCAACAAATTTATACCGAACTAAAGGGAGCACAGCATTAGATACAAAACTCTATAGAGCCACACACTCAGTGTGCAATTGCTACCCAAGTCACTTTTGATCATTCCAATAAAGAAAAAAAGGAAGTCTATAATCTCAAAGTATCACCTGACTCGCCAATGCAAAAGATCACTGTCTACCTTTACATACATAATATATTCTACTATACAGTAACTTTCTCACGAGAAAGTACGTGACACCAAATGGGAATGATCCAGAACAATAGTTAACTATGGTGAAAGCAGTATATTATATAGCTAGAAATGCGTAATGTCCAAGGACCCCTACATTTGGGCAAGTGTTAGATCTATTCCCTTGTGTGGCTGAATGACGAGCTAATAAGAGCAGTTCGTCCATGGGCTCTGCATAACCCGAGGTCTCTCTCCACAAGTCATTAAATACAGATAAAATATGCAACACGTCTGTTTTTCGGATATTCGCTTAAAATTACACGAAGACTATCTGTGCCAACTATCGCTAATTTTCAACTGATAAATTAGACGGAAGCCAATTAATTAACCCTACCCACCACTAACTGTTATGCTGCTATAATTGAATAATAGTTGGTTTGATCGTCAGTTATATATATATATATATATATATATATACACGTATATAACGCCAAAGTAGCCCCAAAGTACGGGGCATGACTTTTTTTTTTCTTTTTGTGTCAGTTGGAAATTAAAAAAAAAACACACGACTGAAGATTGTTTTCCATACAGATGAAGGTTTGATATTTTGATATATTATTATATTTCGAAATATTAAAAAGGTTAACGACATAAAATATATTACGAAAAGGAGGGGTAAACTATTATAAACAATTATTATTAAAATTTTCCATAATTAGAGGAACGTCTGGTCTAAGAATAACCAATAATACGGACACTTGTAAAAGTTTACAAAAAGCATGATACAGTAAAAACAGGAACCATATTTTAAAACTATGATTTATTTGTTTTCGAATAACCACGCAAAGTTACTCAAGGGCTAGCTGTCCTAATTTTGATCAGAACTCCTTTTTAGATCTTAGTATACTAATATTTTACGTCAGAAATGGCTGTTACATACCTTTCCCCAAAAGTCATAAACTTTTGGTGGCATCACACTACTTATGCAACGTCTTTCTGATAACTGCCATACCAACGTGGCTTTAAATCGGCTGTGGCTGTCACGTGACTTGGTGGGTTGCATATTCAAAATAGTTTTAATACAATGTATTCAACCCTCTGTATGAATATTTAATATGATAGAAAATGCCTAATCGTATCGTTTTAGCTGGCTAGGTTCGACAGATACCCTCTTCTTTCATGATTAATAAATTATCTTCGTAATAATATCTCAAAGTAGTTTAATGTGTCCATAATACGTATTTTATTAGAATAATTTAATTTATTGTAATACTTCCTGAGAGGTAGATGGCTCTGAGAGAGTTAATAAAAAACAGGCAGACAATTCAATTTCTCAGATGACCAAAATAGGTGTTTTATGTGGCAACGGCTAAGGCATACATAAAACTTACAGTAAGTAACACCTACAAAAAGTACATCAACCCTGTCAAATAGTTTATATATGGTACAAGATCTAAAATAAATGAGGAAGACAATGAGTACTTAGTATTGGTTTTAAAACACTTAAACAACATGAAATTATCATCTTGAAAAAAAAAAATGTTGACAACAAAATCATAACTAATTTGTAATAACAAAAACAGCAAGATTGCGTTAAAGTTAATAAAACTTATAGGATACTGATAAAAATTTACTAACTCTAAATGACAGCAATAAGAAGATAACTTGACTTTATACATGCAACACTCTTTTTTTTCAGTTACA